ATTCAATTATTCTCATAGTCCCCAAATTTACTCCTTAATATATTCTAAAATTTATTACAAAATATTTTTCCATGTCGGGATAAACGAAGGGCTCGAATGGTCGATGGGTGGTCGGCGACGAAAAAGAAACCTCGGGATAAACGGACGGAAATAATGGACGGGCGGCCGTAGACGAAGGAGAAGCTAGACAGTTCTGACGACGAAGAAGCACGCAGATGGTGGCCGGAGACGAAGGAACGAATGGAAACAGAACAACAGAGGATGAAGAAAAGTTGGAGGAATGAGGTTTTTGAATTTTTTTCAATAATGGAGCATTTTGGGGATTTTGTTAGTATTTTGGGGTTTTGGTATTTTTTACTTTTGGAAAGTAGGCCAAATTTAAAGGATTAAAAATGTAACCTCACAAGTAACCAATTTTGGATTTTAAAAAATAATTAATATTGAGGTGTAGATACAAAAGGATATATTAGTAAATTGAGTGATGGGTACCAACAGTTGTTTGATGACAAAAGTGTAAATTTTATACCTTAAATCATTTTATGTAATTATAGTCTCTAAATAGTCTATCAATGTATAAATTCCAAAAAATTATTAGTAGTATAAATGTAAAAGAAATATAAAATTATAAAACAATTAATTAAAAAAAGTTATGGGTCTCGTTAGGTAAAAGTAGTAAAATAATTGCAATAAATATGTGGGACCAAGAATAAGGAATAAAAATGTAATTGATAAGAGTGTTTGAGAAGAATGAGATTGACCATTTTTAAGAAATGAGATTACAGAGTTTTGAATTTTGATATGAGCTTGTATAACGGACCAACCTTGAGGACAACTGTGAAATATTTGGTAAAAATAGATACCTGTGAAAATAAGATTGCTAAATGGTTACCTAAATAGTTATCCCTTAGAAAAAGTGAACTTTTTCATACTATTTTCGTTCACTCTCTTTCTACGTTCGTTTATTTTAGTTGTTAATTTTTTCAATGGTGATAAGTCGGAGATAATGAACCTACCTATAAATATCTAAGTTGTTTCTAATTGAATTATTATTTTTTCTCTCTTTTTTTAGCCGCAAAATTGGATTTTCAAACTTTGTATTGTATTGCGTTTTTTTTCTCCTGCGTCAACACGAGAGAGACTGATGCAACGTATCAGTGACAAAATCGTATAACCCACGCTGATTCCTATTCTATCCTATGAATTTGTGTATTTTAGTGAAAGATATTTTGCAATAAAAAACATAAATATGAAAATATAGTTGTCTTTTTTTAAATATATGTTTGGTGTCAGATTTAAAATTGAATCTCAATTTAAAAAATCGTTCGAAGCTTTCAACTAAATACTTAGTTCAATTTAAAATAATATTAATGAATTGATTAAAATTTTTGTTAATAATATATTATACATTACATGTTTTATTTTTTTTTTAATTAAATTAGTCTATAACATGAAATAGTATATTTATCCAAAGTTTTATATTTTTCTTTTAATGTAATTCTGCATTTTGAAATTTCAAATTTAAAATTTGAAAAATACTAAAAACAAAAATATATTATTTTAGAAATTTCAAATTTGGATCACAAATTTGTAAACTATTTTAAAAGACAAATCAGATAAACAGACATTCAATTAATCAATTTGATTTAATAAATCTAAAAACTAGAAACACCATTCATATTCTCTATCCAATAGACCCTAATTTTTCTTCCCTGGCTAACCCATCATAATTATTTAAACTAATGAAAGATAAAAAGTACTTTTTTATGGATTAAATATATAACTTGAATATATTTAATAATATTTAATTTAAAAGTAATTGAAATAAAATATCCAATCTCAAAAGTGGATTTTCCATTATCTCTAACCTTTTTAATGTTGGATAACTATCCAGACAGATATTTAGTTTACAAGGCGAAAAAAAAATAATAAATAAATAAATAATGTTGCCAATGTCATCACGGAAAGACTATGACACTATATGATGGGTATGTCAAATTAAAATGCATCTAAAAAAATAATTTTTATTCTCTCTATCCTTTATCCTTCCAATGGGACCAAGTTTTTGCCTTTTAATTTATAGTAAAATAAGCGTTTTTACAACAAAGTGAGTTAGGACCTAACTCTACTCCGATCGCTCGTCCATAAGACTTTCAGGGTCAAGTGATAACTCTCCAAAAGAGAGTTATTTTAGTAAATAATTGGGTTACTTCGTGCATTAATGTGAGGATCTTTATCTAAGAAGAATGCTAAAGTGAGAAATTGAGCGGAAAAGTTAATTATCATATGCTAAATCCTCAAGTTGCTGAATTTATGCAAATTTCTGCTTGTTTTCCCTATTTTTGGTTTATTTGTGCAGAATTTTGACAAGTTGCTGGGGAGCAGTAGAATGCTAAAATTAGAGGAGAAATGTCGGAGCATTGTTGTGCCAGAGCATGTTAATGTTGGAGCATCGTTTCCTGCAGAAATTCTTGGGAAGCACAGTAACACGCATGATTTTTATTTATGTCCGTACAACTCGCGTTTTACTAAGTTTTGCCATAGTTTTCGGGAGAGCTATAAAAGCAACAATATGTGGGTTGTTTCATTATCAATCCCCAAGGGGGGAATCGATCCCAAGAGAGAAAATACTCCAAAAATGGTGTTGAAGTCGAGGAGAGCAGACCCATTCGTGGAAGAGCTAAGGACAGTGAAGAGCTGCTGCTGCCATTGCGTGCTGGTGGTCTCCATCTGCATTTTTCTCTCTTTCTCTAGGCATGTTTGGGGTGTCTCGGAAAGGAACCGAGTCGAGCTGGACACTAATATATGTTAGTGAGCTAGAGGGTAGGTTGATAACTGGTGAAAGTATACTAAATTTCCCCCTGTTTCCCATATCTGCTAGCCTCTCATTCGCATTCTGTGCTAAAGTATTTCTTTGCCCCAGCATCTGTTACTATAGTATTTATCTCTTGGATTTCATTTCTGCATTTTTGTAGTATTTTACTTAGTTTAATTAAACAACCACTATTATCTTTTATTTGCATTTTTTTGGTATTCTTAAGTACACGCTTAGAGTAACATCCTTAGTCCCTATGGATACGACATTGTTTATACTACAATCGGCGAGAATAGTGTACACTTGCACTTGCATTCACCTAGATTCTGGGAAAGCAACATCAGGCTATGTCACGAGTTGTTGGGTCGGGGAATACACGTATAAGGGAAACAGACACTTTAACGCTCAAGTTAGTCTTGGGTACGACTTAGATTGAGAGGTCGAGCTAGAATATCATACTTGATGTTGGAGTGCAGTCCTCTATTTATATATTTGGGAATACTGTTGATGTCTAACAAGCAATTGGGGAGTAGATATATCGAACCACAGGTGGTTGGGGCAGGTGCACCTAATCGTTGGTTGCACGAACGCGTGGTTGGAGGGATTCTGACCATTCGATTCTTTCAGGTCGTTCCTTCCCAACCCTTGGGGCGAAGCCATAAGTATTAGTCTCTGCTTCCATATGGTATAGTAAATCAACTTTTCCCAACATTGGCCCCCTCTCTAGTGGGTCGAACTCCCGACCTGGCGGAGAAGAGTTTTATGGAAGTTGGCGTCCTACCCACGTCGCGGGCTCATCATTACCATTTATATTTAATATTAATTTATTATTTTTTCTCGAAATTCTAAAAGGCGCCTGTTAGTGCGGGCGGAAAATCAGACTCATCAACTGGTCTTTCATCGTTTCACCCCCTTTGATCATGAGCGTTTCACCCCCATAAGACACGTGAACTTGAGCAACTGAGTGTGTTGGGCTTAGCACCACACTAGTGTGTAATTTCTTTGTGTGTAGGTGTTCGCTGAAGCTTCGAGGTTAGAGATTGAAATAAAATTCCTACGTCAACAAACACTTTTAAACATTTTTTTAATTCAACAATTGTTGAAATAGAAATTGAACCATTGAGCCAATCGTAGCATAGCCTCCAAGAAAAGACATCTATTACTATTCTAAAGGTCGATAATTCAATCCTCCATCCTACAATTATTAAACTCAAAAGGAAAAAAAATTGAATCATTGACTTTAGAAAGGAAAAAAAATATAGTTCTCACTTTTTGAATAGCATCATGCAAATAGTCTTCCAAATTAATTAATTAGAAAAGATCTAGTTTAAGTGTCATATCAATATTAAACAATGGATTGACTTAAATCAAAAGTAAACTAATGATTCAAATCTAGGTATAGCTCAACCGATCAAGATATATATTTTCGATGAAAAGGTTAGGAAATTTGAATTGAATTCACATATTGAATTAAAAAAGAAAAGGAAAAAATATATTTTTAGTCCTTAAAGCTTGAGCTAAGTGCCTATTTGGTCCCTGAAATTTCAAAAGAGACATTTTTAGTCCCCGAAGTTTGAAAAATAGTTCAAAATGATCCGTAATTAATTCGATCCTTAGTAGACTAATGGAAAAGTGATATGACAAGGTGAGGTGATAAATTTTAGATGATGTGGCAACTTTTATTAATTTTATATTTGTTTTTAGATTACATGGCTTTTTAATTACATGGCAAGTTGAAAACCACCTAGTCGAGAAAGAATGTGAAAAAAAAATTAAAAAGCCATCTAATTGAAAATCAAATATAAAATTAATAAAAGTTACCTCATCATTTAAAATTTGTCACTTTACTTTAACACATTATTTTTTCGTTAATCAACTAACAATCAAATTAACTTACGGATCATTTTGAATTATTTTTCAAATTTCGGAAACTAAAATAGTTTCTTTCGAAACTTCAATAACTAAATAAATATTTTAAGTCAAATCTCAGATAAAAAGTGATATCTTTTCAAAGAAAATAATAATAATAATAATAAATAAATAAATAAAACGAAAACCGACGCTGTCTGAAATTTTGAAAAAGGTGAAATAGGATTGGTTAGTGGCTTAATACTCAGACAGCCGAAAAAGTGGAGAGAAAAAGAAAATGTCATTGTCAAGTTTCCGACACGTCGGCCAGTGACGACACACCAACCCATACAAATTCGAACCGTCGGAACTCCCTCCCCGTGGCCACCGCATGAACATACGCCCTCTGTCTTCCGTTCCATCGCTAAACGCCAAAGTAACGTAACGAAAACAAATATTCGCTTCCTGGCTCACAAAATCGCTCCCAAAATCCCCGATCTCCCACGCGCCTTCTGCTTCCGCCATGGCCGAGAAGCGAACCGATCCCGATTCCGAGTTCTTTCTCGACGACGACGACGACGACGACGTTGAGGTCACCAAAAGCACGGATGATCGTAGCAACAGCGGTTACAGCGATGGAGACGACGCCGGGAACGACCTCGGACGTCGGAGCTCCACCTTCACTTCTCAGCAATGGCCGCAGAGTTACAGGTGCAGTATTGTTGTTTGTTGTACTGGTTTCTGTTCTTCTTTCGTTGTAGAGCTTCTGTAGATTTGTTTTTGTTATATAAAACGTTATCGCGACGGTTTTCGTTCTTTTTGGAGATATGAATATGATACTGCAGGATGTTAGAATCATTGAGTGATTATTTGTTACATTTAGTTCGGTGGTTTTCGTTTTATAGTCAAAATAGTTCACGTGTTCAAGTCGTTTATGAATGTGATTCCCTGTGCAATGGAGACATAAGGTGATTTCGGAAACTTGTTTTGCGTTACTACTGCAGTGATTGAAAATTAGTTGCATTTTTCAGTCTTTGTAAATGTAAACGAGCGATGAAAATCTCATTTGGTTACTGTTATAGTGATTGCGAATTAGTTGCAGCTTGGCGCATTTTTTCAATCTTTGTAAATTCCAACAACTGATGAAGTTCGTATTTGGTTACAGTTGTGGTAGTTGCAAATTAATCGCCTCACATTATCTGCGGCTTTGATGCATTTCTTCAATTTTTGTTTTGTTTATACAATTAAACTATAAAAATATTCTGCTCAGGAAAATTTCGCATCAGTTTTATCAAATATTATGATTATCGATATTCAGACCTCTTGATGCATTTGATAATGAATGGGTAGGGGTGGGAATAAAAATATATAATTCTTTAATCTCAAAGTGTTCCAGGTTTGCTTTTCCTAACCAGTAGATGAATTTTCTGTTTTATTATAAGTTTAAAAGTAACAGATGCACCAATGGATTTGTATTATAGCGACCATAGGTCTTCATCAATTGTAATAGCCTTCTCTAGGAGACTCACGCAATCATTAATCAGTTGCAGGGACACTACTCTGTTTTTTCCGCAGACATAGTGCCCAGTAGTTCAAATTAGTACCAGTAATAACCTTACTTTCTGGAAAATGATAAATTTTTGCACTCTCATGGCGTCTTTTCAATGAAGAGAAAGTTGTCTAGACTTCAGAGTACGGATGGAAATAGCAACATTTTCCGAGGTTTTCTTAACTAAATTGAACCTTTTGCTATCTCAAATCTGGGCAGAAATTTGGGTCGTTTGAGTTGTGTATTCATACATGTATAGTTTTCTGAAATTGTGAATTATGTATATTTTCATGAATTTATTTCTGTGAAATTCAGTTTGACTGACAGAAAAGAGGTGGCCAGACCTATTTTGTTTAACAATGAATGACTAATAAGAAGCACAAACGACCTTATCACAAAAAGCATTCTTGTAATTGTCCTTGTGACCTTTTGTATATTTCATATCAGCAATGAAATATTTGTTTCAAATAAAAAAAAAAGAAAAAAGAAAAAGAAGCACAAAACTTGCATAACCGGTTGGCAGTCTGGTAATGGCTTAATTTTTTTCGTCCCTAATTCACGAGTGCATTCGTGAATTTTATTCTCTTCTATACTCCTCTGTTTGACGTTCTTAGGTTCTGAAATATTCAAGTGGATTTGTCTGCTAGACTAAAATGTCTGTGGATAATCCAGCTAATCTTGTTTTGTTTATGTTTATGTTTATGTCCATCTGTACTAGTGGAGTCTACTTTCTGCTAAATATGATTCAGTCCGAATACAAAATTTATACCAAAGGTGCAAATTATTAAGCAAAACTTACTATTTTCCTAGTGTGAAATATGGAAAAATTTCTCTATTAAATATATGGATTTCTCTGGGGCAGGGCCATTGATTCTTAACATATTCTTAAACTTGAAGATTTGTTGTAAATGGCTCACATGTTTGAACTTTTTTGAGCAGTGGTACTTGGTACTTAGGTGTTGCTGTTTATCATTTTTTTTCTCTTTGTCAGAGAGACAACGGATTCTTATACAATCATGGCTTCACCAAATTTTGGAATGTTTCGTATTCCAAGTTTATTGCAACAAAGCTTGCAGAATCATAGTAGAAGTAGTTTAGACATGGACGGAAAGACTCCTTTATTATCTGATTATGGTGGAGCTGATCAAAATGAGGATTTGGATAAGATCTCAAGAATGCAATCATTAAGGTCAGATAAAGCCTCATATTCTAAGCAATTGACTAGTGAACTTCCTATTGCCCACGGTTGCAGTTTCACAGAGACTATCTTCAATGGTAATATATCTATGTTTTGTGTTACTTCTTACTTTTTCATGTATATTTTTTTTCTCTGAGAAACTCCTTGTCTGATATGCCTTTATTGTGGAAGTGCCAATAATTGTGGAAAGCAATGCCACTTGGGAGTTTCAGTAAGAAACAATTATACAAGGAATGATATAGGGACTATGTTCTTTTGTTGTCTTGGAGTGACTTGATTCATGTCCACTCAGGAATTAATGTATTGGCTGGAGTAGGACTTCTCTCTACACCATATACTGTAAAAGAAGCTGGTTGGGCTAGTTTGGGAGTACTAGTTCTTTTTGCCATTGTGTGTTGTTATACAGCGTCACTTATGAGGTACTGCTTCGAGAAGAGAGAGGGAGTCATAACATACCCAGATTTAGGAGAAGCTGCCTATGGAAAATTTGGACGTCTTTTTGTCTCTGTGAGTTTTCTTCCTTTGATGCTCTCTTTGTTTATTATCATCATCTGTACATTATCATTATGCACGTTTCTCACAAATGTTCTATTGTTTTTTTTTTACTTCCAAAGTGTATGCTAGGGTCCAAAATCGTTACTCTTTTATGTTACTGTGTATGAGAGGTCAATTCTGGTAACATTCATCTGCACTGAGCTGGTTGATTTTTTCTCCCTTGACGACAAAGTTCGTGAGTTAGATTTCTAGATTCAAAGTTTCTAAAAAATATTTTAGTGCTAGTGGCGTAATAATATATCTCTTATACATGCATAATTGTTGATTTATCCCAGAAAAATTGCTAACATTATGTTTCTCGAATTTTGATGCAGATCATTTTATATTTGGAATTATATGTAAGGGAGTCTCTAATCTACCTTCAACATTTTATTTTCTAATAATATTTCATTTCACTCATCTTTGATGTTCTCTACACTTTCAGAGTTATTGTGTGGAATTTATTATCTTGGAAGGAGACAATCTAACCAAATTATTTCCTGGAGCATCGTTGAGTTGGGGTGGTATCCAGTTAGACTCGATACATCTTTTTGGAATTTTAACTGCACTGATCGTTTTGCCCACTGTTTGCCTGAGAGATCTCCGTGTGATCTCATACCTGTCAGGTAATGTGTAATATACCAGACCAACATTTCTAATCTATGTTGGCCTTGATAATTTGGATGTTTAGATGAAACCATATAATTTATGTCTATTGCAGCTGGTGGGGTCCTTGCAACCATTGTAATAGTCCTGTGCATAATTTTTCTTGGTACAATTGGAGGCATAGGATTTCATCAAACTGGTCAAGTTGTGAACTGGAAGGGCATTCCTTTTGCAATTGGTGTGTATGGATTTTGTTATTCTGGCCATTCCGTGTTTCCAAATATTTATCAATCAATGGCAGATAAAACAAAGTTTAGCAAGGCACTAATAATATGGTACGTTGTCAAGACTTGCTTCTGACTTGGAATGCTCTTTACTTGCCATTTAACTTGATGTTTCAAATTTTTATCCTGTGCAGCTTTATTTTGTGTGTTATATTCTATGGGGGTGTTGCAGTCATGGGATTTCTCATGTTTGGCCAAAATACGTTATCCCAGATAACTTTGAATATGCCAAAACATGCTGTTACCTCTAAAATTGCAGTGTGGACAACAGTAAGTGTTTATGTTGCCTTTTATTTGCCACCTAAACTTATAAGCAGTTTGAGGTTAGCAATATTTCTGAGGAAACTTTATTCTTTTACAGGTTATCAATCCATTCACCAAATATCCTTTTTAAATAGGGGCATCATTTTAGAAAATCAAGTGGCGTAATATATTTTATCTTTGGACCAATGATTAAATTTGCTTCCTTGACATTGCTCAAATATGCACTGTTGATGAATCCATTGGCAAGAAGTATTGAGGAGCTACTACCAACTAGAATTTCAGACAGCTACTGGTGTTTCATTCTCCTAAGAACAACACTTGTTGCTTCTTCTGTTTTTGTTGCTTTCCTTCTGCCCTTTTTTGGTAATGGTGTTGGCTTCAAGTTTTCTGTAATTGGTCTACTTTCTTTTCTGAAGCCATCTTAACATAACGGACTGTAATGTAATAGATGATAATAACCTATTCAAAACTAAACTTTTATCTAGGACCCCAAAATTGTTAACTTCTCATGATAGTCAATGATTCAGCATCTGTATAGTTGATAATTCATTAAGCATGTAACTGTAAATCCAAATTGTTAACTTTCCATTAACAGATTTGCCAAACATGGCAGATGAATTGAGCGTAACTAAAAGCAAATTGCCATTTATCTTGATTGCAGGTCTTGTGATGGCTTTAATTGGCTCATTTCTCAGCATACTCGTGGTAAGTGCCTCTGATTGATTCATTTCTTGAGGAAACCTAATTCTTTGTTGTTTCTAAATATTGCTCTTTGTTTGAGCTCATAGCTCGTTGCACCTAATGATTGTTAATATGTTAATTGTTAAATGGTCAACCAGTTGGCTGTTAGCTGTTAAATTGTTGGTTAGCTTCTGGCAGTTATGTAACTGCCAGGCAATAAGCAATTGGCTTGTCAACTTCAGAAAAAGGGAGCTGGAAAATTCTCTATTTTATTATTTTTTTTAGTGGAGCTGGACAGACATTTCTCAGTTAGCAAAATTTTGAATGAGATTGATTTTTCCCCCTTGGCGTGTGTGTTTGTTATGTCCTTGGTATGAGACTGGGGTCGAGATCCTCAATTTTTCATTTATAATCGAAAAGAACTCATAAGAATCCATTTTAGAAGAATACAAAAAACTCCTCCAGCTTCAAGATAAGAAACTACAATTAAACCATAACCTGCCTGAAACATCACAATAGAATCCTCCCATCTAGAAATTACATTATGAAAAACGCTACTTAAAAACACGATAATTTAATCCAGACCCCCTAATACTACTAGTCCTAGAAATTACTTTCATTCTTCCCTACCTGAAATAAGATTAACCAGCTTCCTCCACCCTTTATAATTTTCCCCCTTTTGATATTTTTCTTCCTGTTGCACTAGGAACTGGAGTTAAATGCACCCCTGATTTCTTTAAGTATTCAATAAGAGCTCCAAATTTAAGTATTCATCTGATCATTAAGATCCACCTCATCCTAACTCGGAAGCTTGGTCTTCAAGGGAGAGCCAAGTTGATCTAGGTCTGCTCCCCACTGTTTTGCTTTGACTGAGATCTTTTTCATAGCTAATCAACTCCGACTTAAGATTTGCTGGAACGAAGGAAGGGCTATATTACTATACATTATATTTTCTTTGGATGTGTTCAAATTTTTTTCATGAATTATATATTCTTTAGATGTGGATACTTGGGATGGTGAAGCTTGTGCAATTGGCACATGTTATACAATAAACTGGAAGTGCAATTCTATTTCACTTGAGCAGTAGGTGAAAAGTTTGATGGAAAACTTTAAAATTATCATCCGTTTATGTCTTTGTCTATTAGCTTTCTTTCTTGGATCTTCTCCCTCTCCCCATCTTCTGGAGCCAATTAATAGCTGAACTGTGGTGAATTATCCAAGTTTGTTATCAGTAAAATATGTTAATAGATGAACTATTGACTTGTTTATTTGTGTTATTGATGTGTTTTTAAACGTATGATATTTGATTTAGGCGGTAATAATACCAACAATGTGCTTTTTAAAAATCATGGGAAGGGAAGCTACAAAGATGCAGGTAAGCATATCTTTAACTTTTTATTTTTCTCTTTTTAATTTAGTTTCGTGATAATCTAGGTAATGAATTAGAATATTAGGGAAATAGTTGTGTCAAATCCAACAATCCTTGCCCAAGAAAAAACAATGGATGATGGATTGTGAATTTCAGGTGGAAATTAATATTTAGGAGAGAAAACATAAAGAAATAAGTTATATGAAAGATCATATGTGGACTAACCTAACCTGATCACTCAACTTAAAAAATCCTCAACTTGATAATTGCTAGCTCTAATGACACTTTTTTTGTTTCTCCGTTTCGTTCTCTTTCTTTTCATCTATTCATAAAAAGTTTGTTTCTGATTCAAAACAAGATTACAATATAGCTTTATATTCCCCACATAATTGGCATGTTTTATCAAGTTTGAGCTCAGTACATGGATATTTAAACTTGTAAGATATTTTGCTATTTTGTGAACAACTTCAAATTCTATTGGAACATTTTTTTCCTGAGAGATCCATGTCTAAAAACATTGAAAATTATTTCTATTTTTAACAACTTTAGTATTCAACCATTATTACTAACACTATATTTGCTTTAATAGAATCTCTAAAGGAGAAAATGATCATTAGAAAACCTCCCTAGCTAGAAGATGGCTCAATCTGCACAAACTTTACGGTGAGACAATGCAAAGATGTAGGATAAATTGAAAATCTCACTCTTTGCATTATGCTCATAGCCCACCCCACTGAAGATCGTACACTTTATGAAAGAGCCTTCAATGGCTTGGCTTAGAAGAACGACAACCCGAACTTCTAACCAGGATTACATAATAATACTAAATAGTCTTTCATTTATCTTGACAAAAAAGAACATTTTCCATAAAATGTCTTTGATTCATTATGAAGATTCATGTTAAATGAAACATTATATTAATTACTTATTCATTTGTATGCTTTGTTATCCTTTTCGCTTGCAATCAGATCACTTCGAGCATCACCGTTATCGGACTGGGCATCGCCAGCGCGACTCTCGGGACATATTCTTCTTTGTCAGAGATTGCAGATAGTTACTGAAACAGGCACAATATGTATGCATAAATTTACTGTATGCTTCATGTCTGTAGTCGTTAAGCATCATACTTTTAGCTTTCGATATTGTCTGTTATCATCTAACTAATATGTTGTATCTTTTTAAGAGTGTGTTTGGATTAACTATTTTAAAGTGCCAAAATGATTTTTTTCGTTTTTCTTTTATTAAAATCTAGAATGTTTAGTAACAAATAAAAATTATTTTTGCAATAATCAAATTAGTTTATAATCAGCCTTGGAAGAATAAAATTGGTTATCCGAAAAGACTTTATGGTAATTTGGTATTTGTAAGAATTACTTTTAGATATATTGGTATTTGTAAGAATTACTTTTAGATATAGTGCAATCAAACGAGAAATTTTCTGAGAAGATTTTAAGATAAAAGTCAAGAAAAAGTTTAGAGAGAATTTGGAGAGACAAAATTAGAGAATTGGATATATATTAGAGAGAAAAAACTTTATAATAAGAGAAGTTAGAGGCCATAGATATGTTTGTTGGGAAATTGAAGATCCTGAATAATTTTCCCTTCCACGTAAATATCCAAACACAATCAAAATATATGAAAATATGAAGAAAACTGTAAAAGCACAAGAATAACGACACAACAAATACATCCAGTCTTCCACTTAGATGTGAGTAATTCATTAATAATTGTTTAAGGATTAGAATATAAAACTTTCCCCAAAAATATCCCAGAATCCTTTTCAAGCCCACAACCAGTAAGTCCCTTTTATTTGGATTTCTATTTATTAGAGATCAAATATCCTAATTTTTATAAGAAAATAATATTGTAATCCTTATAAGACAACAATATCCTACCCCCAGTAGAAATTGGTAATAGTGTTGAAAAATCATTTTCTCCGTACGATATGGTTTCCTATTTTAGTTTCATAATCCCAACAATGTGGAAAAATCAAGTTAGGAGAGAGTTAAAAGTTGGGAGAAGATTTTAGAGAGAAAAATTAGAGAACGAGAGGGCAGAAAAGTTAAAATAAGTGAGAGATATAACAACTTTAGAGAGAGAAAGGTGAGAACTTATGTGAAGAGATAGAAAACTTTCTGAAGAAAAATTTGGGAGAGAGAAAAAAGTTAGGAGAGATATATGTAAGAGAGAAGAAGATGAGTTAGAGAGGAGAAAAGTTTTGTAGAGAAAAATTGAAAGAAATGAATAAATTTTAGAGGTATTTATAAGGATAGAGCATTATATAATTTTAGATAAAGCATAAAATTTCAAAAATAGCATAATTCAAATCAAAGTTAAACTAAAATGTAATATAAAATATAGAGGTGTTCATCGGCTGTCAAAATCGACACTAACCATTGACCTTCCAATTTTCGGTCGGTGGATGTTTTTTTTACCCTCTTTCTGTAAACCAACTGACTGTCAGCGGTTTGGTTGGTCGGTGTTTTTTTTCATCTTCGTATAAATCGATTGACCATTGATAGTTCGGTCGGTCGGTTTTGTGGAACGTCGAATGTTGATTTGTCTCTCTATGTTCAGTGAGATACTTGAGAAGATACTGAAAGCGAGGGAAGGAGAAGAGGGAGAGACAAGGAGGGAAAAGAGGGGGAGAGATAAGAAGAAAAGATAAAAGTGAAAAAGTTGAAAAAAGCAAATTAAAGAAAAAATTATAAAGGGGAGAGAAAGTAGAATGAAGTATGAAAGGAAATATGAGGAGAAAAAAAGAAATAAAAGTGAAGAGAGGGAATGAGAAATATATGAACAAACGAGAGAGAAAGGGAGTGTTGTTGATAAAGAAGATGAGATTAAATATAAAAAATAAATAATGGCCATTCACGTGAATGGCAAGGAAAGATGTATATATATATATATATATATATAAAGAAGATGGAGGGAGATCAGCATCACAGCTTGAATCACGTGAATACTCCATACACGTGATTTGCATGAAAAGATATAAGAAATATAATAAAGGTTTTTTTTTCTACTAGGTCGGTTTTCTCATTTTTTCTATAGATTGACCGATCGACCAGTCAATTTTCCTTATGTAAAACTGCAGTCGACTCGAATTTTTGAGTAGAGTTGAACACCCATAATAAAACATACTCGGAAAATTCCAACTAGGATGTAAGGTAAAAATATTAAGAAAAATCAAATTTATGTTATATTTGAAAAAAATAAATAAAAGTTGTGGTATTTCTTAAAATATATATTATATTCATGGTAGGAAATGAATTTTTTCTAAACTAGTTAAAAGATAAATATTAGTAAGCATATGGAATTTGAAAGCGGTTTGTTTTTTTTTTTTGGGAATCTAGACAGCACAGCTTCGGATGCCCATTCAATATTGGATATATAAAATTATAGTTGTGCGACTTTAGATAGCTATTTGTTTTGCAGGAATATCTTATCAAAATGTTTGGGAATACTTAATAGTTATGAAAACATATTTAAATTATGTATTATTCTAACAATTCTCATACTAATCATTATATAATTTATATGTTAGCGTATATATCTTCTAAATATAATTTAACATAGTTTAAATTCATATAAAATTTTGTACTCCAAAAAATTCATATATATATACAATTTTTGTTTTTATTGATTTAATATTATATTTTTATGTCAATTTAGTTTATTTTGGGTGACTATTGGAAGAGACACTAGATTTCAATTAAAAAAAATTAAGATATTATGCTATTGAATAAAGATTATTTTATATCTAAACATAACATATAAATAAAATTGTATTTAATCATTTATCAACGAATTAGTGGATACATTTATTTTTAAAATAAATAAAAAGTAAATAAAATTAGTGAAAACAAATATATCTATACTATATTAAAAAGGTAGGATGTAGGAAAAGCATTTTTGGACACTTTTGCCCTTTACTAAATTTACAAATTATACCATTAATATATTATTACAAATATTAAATTAATTATTAATTATTAATTATCCATACTATAAATGCATGAAATATAAACAGTTGGAATGCAAAAAGTTTTCCAACAACATAAAATTAATTTTTTCTTTGATTAAAATTCATACTAGAATTTCAAGAGTTTTAGAATTTGAAAATTTTTTGTAACGTTTTATCCTCTACTACTATAAAAATAGGTTTCTTCTACATGTTTTTGACAAGTTTCAATACTTTTTTATTCTTAGTTCCTTCAAACATCTCTCAAAGATGATTCAATCATGAAAACATCTCGAGATATTTGTGACATATTCATCAAGTTGTAAGGGAGGCATATGTTGAATCTACATATCTCGGATACTAGGTTTGTGACATTACCATTCCACAATTTTACAAAGTTGAATAATAGTATATGTCAAGCAATCTTCAAGAATGAGCATATTTACTCTAAAAGATGAGTGTATAGTAAGTATTTGGATTTTTTTTTGTTACTATTGTTATTTTTCTAATTGGTGTGCTTTTTATTTGGAATGTTTCTTTTTTTTAGCAATTTTATTTAGTTTAGGATTTGGATTTTTCTTTTTGTTACTAATGTTTTTTTATTGTTTAGTGTACTTTTTTTATTTGGAATGTTTCTTTTTTGAGCAATTTTATTTTGAATATTTGTTTAAAATATAGATAATTACAAGCTCATGTTGTTATTGTTGAAAAAAAAAACAATCATAGAAATCAATACATAAAAAAATGTTTAATTAATAAATTAATTATAAACAATAATTTGTATAGAATCTTAAAAGGTGGAATATAAAAYTTTTGGTCATTTTATTTTCTAATAATATAATTTGAAGAATTTTTCTTTAATAATTTTAATTATAATATAAAATTAGATCAATAAAATAATTTATATTTAGTTAAAAAATTCAACATATATAACAAAATGTCAGCTCTAAACAAATATTTAATAAACAAACAAAATATTAAAAAAATAAAATAAAGTACCCATATTAGGTTGAAATAATTTAAAAATAAAAATATTAAAATACCTATTTACTTTTTATTAATATATAATTTTTTCCTTTACTTTTAATTTATTTATTTACAAAATATATTATTAACAATTAATTATAAATAGTATATTTAAAAAGTAATTATAAATAGTACATTTTATTATTAGTAATTAGCTGTCAATAATAATAAATATATATAAAAATTAATCTTAATTATTTTTAAAAATAATTATACTTAAAATATTTTACGTGAAATTATATAAAATTTAAGTTACCTTATAATTAAAAAAAAATGTTACGTGCATTGCACGTGGTAATACACTAGTTTATAAAAGAGAGAAAAGGTCTTCGAAGGGTTGTTTTAGAAACTCATTTACACAAATGTCTAAAATTTTCTAATTTTACACTTTTAGATTTCTACAGGTAGAATTTTATTTTAATTCCGATTTTACTCTTATTTATTGTATTTACATTTATTAGAGTTATTTGCTATTTTTGAAATATCAAAGATTTAATTCCATAAATTATTATCATAATCCTTTAATTATTGTGGGCC